CTGGATCCATTGGAGACTCAGCTGACTCAGAGTGGGCGGGCTTCAGGACCCCTTTTATCCCCAAAAGTCCTTGCTGGGTTGATTTACAAGTTGATGGGATTGGGGTGAGGGTTTCCATGTGCTCAGGCCCAGCTTCCTTTTTCTGGTTCAGTCCTTTTTCCTTAACGACTTGCTTCCTTCTTATCTACCTCCCTGAAGGGATCTCATAGATAAGTTTCCTGGCTTTTGTCCTCTCTGCTTACGTGCCTGCTTCATCTTTAGGTTATGGCAGCTTCAGCCTAGTCTCACAGTTGACATCCCCCTCATGACATCAGCTCCCTCCAGCTGGTTGCACATTTATGTGCTGAGCATTTGGGGATATGAGAATGCCTGAATGGGACAAGGTTTATCTATCTGTTAATATCAAAAGGGCAAAAAATGTTGAAGTATTTTAATATATATCATGATGGACTGATCATGATGCTGGACAGGTTTCCATTCTCTAATATTCTGCATAGTGAATTGTTTCTCTGTTACCGCAAAAGAGATTAGTTATCCAGTAATTTCAGTTTTCTGAACTTCTGTTAGACTATTGTGCTTCCCTTACCTTATGACTCCTCCCACTCCTTTCTAGATCCAAGGCATTTCTATTACCAATCAAGAATTTGGCCTAAGTGAGACTGAGCCTGGCAGTGCCTTTGTCTATTCAAAATTTGATGGCATCCTGGGGTTGGCCTATCCTTCCATTTCTGCTGGCGGTGCCACCACTGTAATGCAGGGAATGATGAAGGAGAACTTGCTTGAGTCTGCTGTTTTCAGCTTCTACCTGAGTCAGTAAGTATAAAGTCCTTTCTACCTTTCTTCTTTTGATTGGGTCGTTTTGGTCCACCACATTTATTACTCACTTCTCTTCTATACCTTGTATATAGCTTACACCCTATGTCAATAAGACTTATGGAGCATGTTTCTCTGGTTGGTTTCTCAGGATTTTGAGACGGACAACTTAAGATCACTGGGCATTTTTGACCTTTGGTTTCTCACTTATTTCCTTCAGGAAGCTATCCAGTGAATGTTTCTGTAAGATAACTGTAGTGGACTCTCTTTGGATTACAGATTTAAGATTCAAAAAAGTGCTTTTCTCATTTTAATCTAAAAGAGAGGGAAAGCTTTGAAAATGTCAACTTTATGTTGCTATGTGGTACAAATACTAGGTGGTACTGATGAAGGAAGATTGTTCTAAAGACATCCTATCTGTTTATGGCAGAATGGAGATTTGAACCCAGATCTCTTGGTAGTGATCACTAAATTCTCAGCCCCTCTAAAATACTACTGACTCCTGGCCACAAAATGTTGGTCATGCCTTCCTCTAAATTCTCAGCCCCTCTAAAATACTACTGACTCCTGGCCACAAAATGTTGGTCATGCCTTCCTCTAAATTCTCAGCCCCTCTAAAATACTACTGACTCCTGGCCACAAAATGTTGGTCATGCCTTCCTCTTAATATTATAAGAAAAATGCTGCTCCAATTGCTCATTTTTCCCTGTTAAAATAGATTCTACTTTCTTTTGTCTACCTTATTTTTAGGGTGCTTTAGAATTTCTTTAGAGTTTTAAAAATGATTCTTGAGCTTACCTTACTGATGTGAGATAGAGACTACTGTTTTTTACCTTATCATATTTCTGTCCCTCACTCTGTGTGCCTCCTGATCTGAAAACCACCATGGGAAGACTTGATAGATGATATCCTAGCACTCTTTAGCACCTGAAAGGATACACACAGAGAAAGGAGACCTATTATCTGTCATCCTGGACAATAGATTTAAGTTATCAGAATCAGATTCCAGTTTAGTATTTTGAAACATCTCCTAACTGTAAGAGCAGTTTGACAGTTAACCAAATACTCAGAGAGATGCTGGGCACTGCTTCAACGGATGTGTTAAAGCAGAGCATTGTGAGTGACAATTCATGGTTGGTTTAAACCAGTGTTTTTCACACTTGGCAACTTTAAGATGGGTGGACTTCAATTCCCAGCATGCTGGCTGAGGAATTCTGGGAGTTGAAGTCTACCCATCTTAAAGTTGCCAAGTTTGAAAAACACTAGTTTAAACTGAATTCCAGCCTATAGAGTGAAAATGGGTGGCCTAAATGGCCCCTTCTATCTCTGTGGTTGCATGATATCTTCCCTTGGAGTTGAATTGAGGCATAAGAAACCAGCCAGAACTTCAAAAAGGATATTATTTCACTGTGAAAAGGCTCTCACACACAGATCTCTCAGCCAGCTAAAAAGGAAACATTGGTATGATCCAGCAATACATCTCGATAAGATTGTCCTTCTGACTTTCTGCATTGATCCCATTAGGCAGCCAAGCTCCCAGAATGGTGGTGCACTTGTCTTCGGAGGAACCGATCCCAATCTCTACACTGGACAGATTAACTGGGCTCCAGTCACCCAAGAAATGTATTGGCAAATTGCGATTGATAGGTAAGGCTGTTCTCAGCGGTAATATTTACAGAAAAGCCTGATGAAAAAACAGCAGAATCTTATGGCTTGACATGAGGAATGATCCCTTGGAGATGGGATTTGAACTCTCTACATCAAGGGACACCAATGATGGTAGGGAGACCAGATCCACTCAGAATGTTGTAACTGATAGTTTTTAATATGACAGAAGGCAAAGGTATTACATGGAGACGTAATCACATTAACCTAATTGAATGTAATGGCATTTGATTGTTAACCTTTTCCCATTCTCTTCTTTCTTCTGGCTCCACTTACTCTTGGGGGGAGTCCCTGGCTTCCCACACCAAGGCATCTCTGATTTCACTAGTATCAGCTGGTCAGCAGTCATTAACTTTGTACTCTATGAATATGTTTTTAAAGCCTGCTTTTATTTCTGGGGCAATCCTCTTTTTTCCTCTTTGGAAACTAAAAAAATGACTCTGGTTGTCTAATGGCAAAACCTGGACAAGACAACTACCTGATTTTATATTAAGATAATCACAGCCACTCCAGTTCCAGTGATGCCACTGGACATCTTTTGACTGACTGTGGAAGAGCAATATAACAGCGAATGTCTCTGAAATTTTGTTCTCTAGCTTCTCTGTTAACAACCAGACAACCAACTGGTGCAGCCAGGGATGCCAGGGCATCGTGGATACTGGAACATCCCTCCTCACTGTTCCTCAGAATGTCTTTGGAGAGCTGATGCAATACATTGGAGCTCAGGAAAACAGCTATGGCGAGGTAAGGGAAAACAGCTACATGCAGGGACAAGGAATGCAGAGTGTAGCTGGCAATACTAAATATCAGTATGAGACCTGGGATACTCTTATTGTGGGTATACAAATATTCCCCAGACAAATCCAGTAGAAGATGATGGAAAGATTGACTCCCTTAATGCTCATTTCATTTATTCAGGCAATAGGAATTGCGAGGGATGGGGGAGGTGGGAGAGGGGAGGTGGGTTATCCAGTTGCCAGAAAATATAGAGATTACCTGGCAGGCTCTGCCTTGGTTGCTAGCTCTTAGTTGAGCTGTTATGAAACCAAACCCGATGCCAGTGGAGATTGTTTTTAACTTCCATGCATGTGCCAGTATAGGGAAGAGTTGGCTTTTTCATAAGAAGGCTAAGGCAAGGATTAGAGGTCTCCCTTCTAATGCATCTTGATCTTGAATTGAGCCAGTGCACTACTACAGCAAAGTAAATCAAATTGAGAAGTAGAGCAGAATGCTGTGCAATTTACTTACTGTCTAGTTTATCCCTAAGAATGCTTACGGTTTTTGCACATTTTCTCTTATCTTCTTTCCTATTGTATAGTATGTGGTTAACTGCGATAATATTCAGAGCATGCCCACCATCACGTTTGTCATCAATGGAGTTAGTTTCCCCCTGAGTCCATCTGGCTATGTCCTTCAGGTGGGTCATTCTTTTCAACAGCTGTTTCCATGTTGGCCTTAGGGACCCAAAATTACCTTGTATCAGCCATTTCCAACTTGAAGCCCTCAATAGGTCTTAGGTTACAACTCTTATAATTCCAAGATAGCAGATAATTGTAATAGAATCCTTGTAGAAGGCATTAGGTAGGAAAGGGTGCTTGACAAATTTGCTAGTTCTGCAGGGGGAAGAGGAGGGACAATCTTTCGGTTTAGCAGTTGTGTGGTTGCTACTATAGAAAGACATAGCACAGTTGTATCTCTTCATGACATCTCATCCTGCTCTCCCTCCCTTGGGAAAGCAGAGGGGAGTATGACCTTGAGATATCCTCATGGGAAAGATGAAGTACAATAGATAAGAAAGTTGGCAAGTTATAAAAGTTGTTTCTTAGGAATGAGGCACCAGAAGGTGCAGTATGGTGTAGGGTCTGGTGGCCATTAAGAAAATAAATATTTGAGCAGGCTTGAGCAATTGAAGCCAACATGTTGACTCCTGGTGGTCCATGTATTGAAACCAAGACTTGTGATTTAGATTTTACCTTTACTGTAGGGAATTGAGGAATAATGCACTGAACTAACCTAAAAATGTGTTATTTAAAATGGAGTTGCAGAATAGTATAGTGATTGGTGGTTAAAAATCTTGGCAGAGTGTTATATGTGATTACAATCATAGAGAGTTTGAATACTGAAAGTTAGTCTTTGCTTTCTCAAGTTAGTCTTCTCAGGTTATATCTGATATTTTGAGAAAAATGCCTTAAACTCAAGAGTTTTAATGCAGTCTATGTCTTTTCCTCAATAGTATTCTGGTGGCAGTTGCCAGGTTGGCATGATGCCCACTTACCTGCCATCCCAGAATGGGCAACCTCTGTGGATCCTTGGTGATGTCTTCCTCAGGTCCTACTACTCTGTGTATGATTTGGGCAACAACCAGGTTGGCTTTGCAGCAGCAGCATAGACATAGCCAACAGTTTTATGCAGTACTTTACATCTGCAAAAAATCTTCCACTGAAAGCGATAATAAATCAAAGTCGGTTTCCTCCCCAAAGTAACTGGAAGCAAATAAAAACATGATTATGCAAAGAACAGTCTCATGTATGAATTTTTATTGGCCAGTTGTGAGAGTATGGCACAAGAGGAACGGTTGGAAGAAATACAATATCTCAATGTTTTCTTTGAACTACAGATTTCCTCTATTTAATTCTTCTATTTAAATCTTCCCCTATTCCAAGGGCTAAAGAAATATTACCTAATATCTTCTTACTATTTCTCCACATGTTACCTTATAATTACCTCCTTTATATAGTTGCCTTGGATAGAGAGAACTATATGCAGCCAAAAAGTGCCCTTTTTTTTTACATCAAAGTAATAAAATGTGGGTCCTAATTACTGCCTTTAAACTCAATAAGAGAGAAGGAATGCCCATAGGTAGATTTCTGTGGAGATCAGATCTGGAGACCACAAGCCAAGTATCAACGTGTCATAGATTTTGTTGGAAAATTATGGCTCACCATGCTGAATGTTGACCATTTCAAGAAGATGGCCATACATTGTGGTCTTCATGCAACCCTTATCGAATCCTTTTACACCATCACACTATTACATTGCTTCATATGTTTGCTACTGCTATGAAAGTATGCAATGACAAATTATAATACTGAATAGTCTATAATGTGGAGAATATACCACATCAGCACCATTTCATGAACACCCACTTAAGTGAGATCATCTCTAAAATGTTCAAGATGTACACAGTGAGAAGAAATATATCCTCTTTTGCAGAAACCCTAGTAAACTTAATTTAGGTTTTCCTTCCCTTCATGCAGTTCACTGAGTGTTAGAAGAAAAAGAGTGGGTGATGTGCCTGAATATATAGATGTATGACTGATAAACTCCATATGATTTAGTATTCAAAGTGTGATCAGAAGGAAACAAATGGAAGAATTAAAAGGTTTTAAAGCTGACTTTGTAAAGATGAAAAACATGACTGGAGCTGCCTTCTAAACATTAAAAAGATGCTGAGGTAGAGTTGCTTTTTCTCTTCTATTTGAAGTTATCCTTAGGCGTATAATGCAGAGGTGGATGGTGGTGGGTATGACTTGTAAAATCCAATTGTCTGACTTCTCAGTAGAGTTTTTTTTGTGTAATAGTATAGCAGTCACTCTACTATACAGCTAGAATAATCTTTGAGTGGCTGTGTAATGGGAAGTTGCAGAATCCAGGGAGCAAGGAACTAATCACAAGTAGAGGAGAGGACACATGAGGTTGGCAGAAAATAGTTGGGGTCCTAGAATTAAAAAAATGAATTTCAAACACAAATTCACTCATGTAATTATATGGCCTACCTTCTCATTTTTATCAATATTAGAAAATTAAGCCTTTCCTTTATTTCCAAAGTCTTTGTGTTCATTAACTGACTTTCATATGAAACTCAGTTAGAGGCCTAAGTCCTAGGGGGATTCAAAAGGATGGTACCATACACTAATTCCATGTCAAACTATCAGAAAATTACACAGATCTCTTGGACAATTGAAAACTGAAGAATTTGAAATGGTTATACCAGTTAGAGCTCAAGTTGTCCCTTTAATACAGTGGTACCTCGAGTTATGAACGCCCCTCACGAATTTTTCGAGATACGACCAGCTCCGGCCCCAAAAATTTACCTCGAGTTGCGAACTCTGCCTCGAGTTATGAACCGGATCCATGGCCATTTTCCCTGCTGCCACGCAGTCGCGGCTTCCTGTGGGCGAGATCGTGGTAGCAAGGAGACATTCGGTGAGGCTTGT